AAGGCAAATGGGCCTTCTTCATTCTCGATCGAGAGGACTCTAGGGAAGGGTGCCCATTTCCCTGTTTTGTTCTGATCCCCTGATACAACCTGGAAGTGCTTTCAGCCATCCCACCTAATCATTCCTGCTGTGATCCTAGCTCCTTTTAATATCCTGTCCTGTGTTTCTGAGCGATCTTCTCCCTCAGTCCTCCCTTCCTGAAAACCAGCAGATTTGCCTCACCTTTTCTGCAGTCACTCACATGTCTCTGGCACTTCTTCCTCGGGCATATGCGTATGGTGCTCTCTCTTTCCCTACCACCTTCTGGTCCTTCCTCTGTCTCCCAACTTCATACTCGCCCAGCTGACTGGTTAGGAGTCCATTTTTATAGGAGTAGACAGAACTTTCCCACTCCCCTCCTCAGTGTGGGAAGACCCCTAGTTACAGATTGGTGAGCATCTGCGGTCTCTGTTCTCTTAGACTCAAAGTCCTCTGGCTCACAGCCTCTCAGCCCTGCAGCATCGTGGACGTGGAGGTATGACCCCCCTCACCCTCCTGCCACCACCATGGGTGGCCTAGGGGAATGGACATTGGCTGACCCCCGAAGGGGAAAGAGGGTGGGAGTGATCACCCATAGCTCTGAGGTCCTGATGACAAGTGGATGTGTGTGTTTCAGTTCCTCCCTGTGTACCACCCCACCCCAGAGGAGAGCAGGAACCCCACCCTCTATGCCAACAATGTCCAGAGGGTTATGGCACAGTGAGTGTCCCACAGAATATTTCCTGGAGCAGATACACAGGGCATAGGAACCACAGGAGGGACGGAGGGGTGAGGTTCCAAGGCAGAGATGGGGGAGTGGGCAGTGGGATGGACTCGAACAGGTGATACCTGGGTGGGGGCAGTTAAAGGGGCATGGTCTCCTCTCCCTGCTCAGCAGCCTAGACTCCTTGGTAGTGAACCCTCAGAAGAGTCTTCTTCCTCACCACCACCCCCCAATCCATTACTCTTCATCCTCTAGGGCCCTGGGCATTCCAGCCACCGAGTGTGAGTTTGTAGGGAGCTTGCCTGTGATTGTGGTGGGCCGGCTGAAGGTAGCCCTGGAGCCACAGCTCTGGGAACTGAGAAAGGTGCTTCGGAAGGCTGGGTAAGTGACCTTGAACATAAGAGTATGGGCAGTGTCACTTATAGGTAGAAAAAAAGAGGGAGAAATGGAAAGTAGGAAAGAAAGCTTTTTTTTTTTTCTTTTTTTAACGTTTGTTTATTTTGAGAGAAAGTGAAAGAGAGCCAGTGGCGGGGGAGGGGGAGAGAGAGGAAATCCCAAGCAGGCTTCACACTCAGTGCAGAGCCCAACTTGGGGCTGAATCCCACAACCATGAGATCGTGACCTGAGCCGAAATCAAGAATCAGATACTCAACCGATGGAGGCACCTGGGCGCCCCAGGAAGGAAAGTCTTAAAAAACAAATAAGAGAGAAGGTAGAGGAAGAGTAAAAGAATTGGGAAAAAGAAAGAGAAAGTTGTAATAACCCCGGTGAGAGAAGGAGGAATGGCTCTCAGGGGACTCTGAGTAAGAGTCCATCTTGGGAAAACACCAGATGTGTCTGTGGTGGGGGGCTGGGGGCCAAGGTGGTGTGTCCAGGAAGAAGCTGAGTGAGCTGTCTGCCTGCAACAATTCTGTTGTAGGCTGTCCCCTGGCCATGTGGACGCTGGGGCAGAGCCAGGCCGGAGTCGAATGATCAGCCAGGAAGAGTTTGCCAGGCAGCTACAGCTCTCTGACCCCCACACGGTGGCTGGAGCCTTCAGCTACTTTCAGCAGGTAAAGAAGCTGGGACACAGAGGCCAGAGCCCAGGCCCTGCCCTCCAGGCTGATGTGCTCAGGGCTTCAGGACACTATCCAATTGGCCCCATGGGTGGCCAGTTTGGAATCTGCACTGCTGGGTGGCCATCTCCTGAGGTCCTCTGGGGGATTTGTTTTTTATAGAGTGCATTGAGGAACAATGTTTTAATCATTGTGGGAGGGAACAGTGGAGAAATAATCAGTCAGTGAGGTCTATAAGTTTTTGAAGCCACTTTAGGGATTATCCAAGATAGAGGAGCAGATGAACTTTTGAGGCACCTGTGTGAGTTTCAGGGAAGAGTCATGAAGGTTGGATGGAAAGGTGACCTGTGTAGGAGACAACATGGGACAGGTTAGACAGATGAGTGGGAGACTCAGATCTTTGCAGTACTTTTTAAAGACAGCCCTGTTGTTTGCTGTAAGGGACTCCTGAACTATCTCAAGAATTTTGGCACTCCATGTATTTCCTGGGACTTAACTAGGTTCCCCTGTTGAATGATAATGATCCCAAAAGATTCTTAATGTTTGCAAACAACCACCACTGGCCCCAAAGAGCTCTTTTAGGTCTAAAATGCAAACCATGGCTTTCACCCTCCTTCAGAGAGGGACAGAGTGGCCCCGGTGTACTGATGGCTTAGCTTGGGGCAGACTGTCCCTGAAGGGAGTTTCTCTGTTTAGTCTCTAGCAGAGCTGAATAGCAGGGCTCCCCTGTGGTGGCATCCTCCTTGGGGCTTTTTGTAAGAAATTATGCCAGTGGTTCCCCCCGTCAGTCTGTCGGACCAGTTCTCCAGCATAGACTGAGTCAGAGAACCAGTTTTTCCAGCTTAGGGTTTGTCAGAAACTTGACGGTAATTTCAGCATTCCTGAGGGATTCCCTCAGATTCATAGGAGATTCCTTAGAGGAGACTTTGGCACCAGGTGACTTGCGGGTGGCTTGAGCGTGACCTGAGAGAAATGCTGGGGGTCCTGGAGAGTTGAGGGCTTAGGGTTTTGAGGGAAGCAGACACAGGTTCATCCCCATTCGTGCTGAGAAGAGGGAGGAGCAAAATCCAGGGCAAGAGGGAGGACACAGGGTTGGTCCTCATGGTGCCCTGGTTTCTCTTTCACCATCCAGGATGCCAAGGGTTTGGTGGATTTTAGAGATGTGGCCTTGGCTCTGGCGGCTCTGGATGGGGGCAGGAGCCTGGAGGAGCTGACTCGCCTGGCCTTTGAGGTATCAGGAACGTGGAAGGATGTGTGGTGGCCATTCCTACCCTACCCAGAGGTCTGTATGCGGTGCTACTCCCAGTACCTTCTAGATAGCAGGTGCTGGCTGTGCACCACAGTGCGTCCCTGTCTCAGCTACAGAGCCCCGGCGCCCCTGTGTCGTGGCCTGGCTGGGAACAGCAAGGGCAGCAGCTGGGAAGTTGACAGTTCTGCAGAAAGGGCCAGGGTGAGGGTGGCAGGGGAGACAGCAGAGCTTGTCAGGCAGACCCGCAAGGCAGTGTGGGGCGATGACCTTAGGACAGTGCTTGACTTGCTGTCCCTTTCTGTCCCAGCTCTTTGCGGAGGAGCAAGTAGAAGCACCTGGCCGCCTGCTGTACAAAGACGGCTTCAGCACCATCCTGCACCTGCTGCTGGGGTCACCCCGCCCTGCTGCTGCGACCTTGCATGCTGAGCTGTGCCAGGGGGCACCCCACCAAGGCCTCTCCCTCTGTGAGTCATCGCCTCCTCTGCCAAGAGGGCTTGGGCTACTGTCACCACAGGCTGGGAGGGAACAAAGGCTGGTGGCCGGTGCTGGGGATCCTTATAGGAGAGGTGAGGCTCGGAGGGCAGAGAGGACAGAAGCTGGGACTTGAGAAGTAAAGCAGAAAGGAGAGGGAAGGGACATACCAATTCCTAAAACGAGCTGGCCGCCCTCTTCCCCCCCTTCTTAGATGGTTTTACCTTTCCACCTTGGCCCTTCTCACTCTTTCTTACCCATCCAGGTCAGTTCCAGGACTTCTCCCTCCACGACCCGCTCCACGGGAGGCTCTTCAGCACCTACCTGCGCCCCTCCCAGAAACCACATGCCTCATCCCCACGCACCCCCACTGCTCTGGCCAACGGGACTGTGCAAGCTCCCAAGCAGAAGGGCGACTGAGCGCCTCAACCTCCCCAGCTCGCCTTCGGCCTACCCTGTGCCTCAAGCCCGTTTGCTCCTGCTTGAGTTTTTTGTTATTGTTTTTTTTTTTTTTAAGTTGATTTTTGTTTTTTTGTTTGTTTGGGTATTTTTTTTTTGTAAGAAACTATTTTATATATAAATATATATCTATATCTATTTAAGAAAAAATAGGCTGTTAACATTGATGGCATCAGCTGGAAACGAAAGGGATTAATGGTTGTTGGCTGCCCGTCGGAAGATCCCAAAGGTTCCCAGGGTCAGTCCTCTTGGCCATGGCTGAATGAATCCTCACTTCCAGTTGGATGGGACGGGGCTCTTTCCTGCACAGAAATCATGCAGATCTCACATCCTCCCCTCCTGCTGTCAAACCTTATATATGCACACTTTACCAGGCTTCCTTATGAACCTCTTTTCAGCCTATTCCCTCTTGTTCTGTCCTCATTAGAAATTAAAAAATAGCTAACTATCATTTTATATTTAAGAATCCTACTGAGAATGATTCCCCCTCCCGTGGTGGGAGCACAGAGCTGTGTCAGGAGCAGCCAAGTCTCCTCCTTGCAGCTCAGACCAGGCTCAGGAGGGTTTTATGCCAGAGGGTGAGATGAAGACAGTGAAGTCCCTTCTGTCCAGCCCCTCCTCGGGGGGAGGGGAGGAATGGGAGAATAAGCAACCTCTTCTCCTTAAAAAGGTGCTGTGGAACATGAATTAGATTCAGAAAATTAGACATCTAACCCAGAGATCTGACAGGTTGAGGAAAAAAAAAAGCGTCTTTCCATCTTTCAGATTTTTGAAGGGAGATGGGTAATGCTGGCCTGTCCTGGGAAGCGCTGTCAGCATCGAGTCCAGGCTCTCAGGAGGGGAGGGATGAAGCGATCACTGGGACTTCCCCCTCCCGGAGCTTGTCAGGGAGCCTTGATAAGGCTGGAGGCGGGAGTGGTATCTAGATCTGGTGAATGTGGAGCCACCTCCACCTTCTTCCTTCCTTTCAGCACCTCACCCCATCTAGCAGCGGAGACGCGAATACACAAGGACACTGCAAGCATTTTCCAACAGTCAGAAAAATCTTTATTCTTTTTCCCCATAGAACTTCTTTCAAAGGTACTTCACCTCCCACCAAGGGGACCACCTTCAGCCTAGCCAGTGTGACCTCCCTTCCCACACTCACTACTTCTGCAGAACAACAAAATAACGTGGGGTTGAGAACCAGCCTGTTGGTATACAGCCAGGGTGAAATCTACTGTGGATTGTGGGTCCACTCCCTCCCCGCCTTCCAGGGAGTGGCAGGTGGGATCCTTTGGCCCTGCTGTCCCCTACTGGCTGCGCCGTCGTTTCTTCCTTCTGCCAGTGACGAAAGTATCACGCCGCCTCTTACGGGGCTGTGAGGCTGGAGGCACCTCCAGAGCCAAGGGCTTCTCCCCAGAGACCCCCAGTTCAGCTCCCTGGTAGGGGCTCTTTTCAGCAGGAGTTGGACTGAGCGTTCTCTTCCCAGACTTGGCCACAGGATATGGAGGCTGGCCAAGGCCCCTCGCCTCAGCAGAGTGGGAGTTGGGTGCTCTCTGGACCCCTTGCCCTCCCGTGGAGGCCGGTGGGCCTGAGGCAGAGTGAGGACTGAAGGGAGGCCCCCTGGGAGACAGGCTAAGTTTAGAAGCCAAAAGGTAGGCAAAGCTGGCGAGTTCTTCATCCTCCTTCTCCTCCCGCTCCTCCTCCCTTCCTTTGGCCCCATCTGTTGAGCTGCATGTTTCACTGACAGGAGAGGCGTCTCTCAGAACTAAGGCATCCCTGGCTCCCCATCTAGAGAAAGTGCTTTCAAGGCCCTGGTGAGGAGATGTTGATTTGGGGGTCCCATCTGCATAAGACTCTTGATTCCCTGGTAAGGGAGCAAGGTCCTCAGGCTTGGATACATCAGTATCCTCCCTGCGCTCTCCTTGGGGGTCATAAGAATTAAAATTGGGCAGGCAGGTATCCTCACTGACGCCTAGATGGAGGCCATAGGCATCTCTAATATCTAGTATGTTGACATGTTCTATGGTTTCCAACAGAGGAGAGATGGAATTGCCCCCACTCCCCACCTCTAGGCTGACCTCGGGGAAGGAGGAGATACCCTGGGTCCCCAGCATAAAGATATTGCCTTGACATGCAGTCTGAAGGGTTTCTTTGGGAGCCCCCAGTGTGGGGGCGCTGATCCTACTATCCAGCAACGAGGGGCAGCCTTCAGCCCACAGCTCACTGGGATCCCCTGTAGCCTCAGGGCTTTGCTCTCCATTTCCTTTAGGCCTCAAGGATGGGCTGTTGGCCCTCAGAGGTCTCGGCAGGCTTTCATAGTTTCTCTTGTGCACAGTGGCTGTGCTGTCCGTGCCTCCACTGGGGACTGCACTGCTCCCCCCTTCCCCAGGTGCTATGGTTTCTTCAGGACCCAGAGAAATGTTGCCTCTGGAGCCCAGCACCTGGTAGCCTCCCTGATGCTCAGCGACACATTCCCTGGAAGTGGAATTCACATGGAAGTTCTCTATAACCTCCTCAATTTGTAAGGGCAACTCCAAGCCCACGGCTTCCAGCTCACTGCTCAGCCAAAGTCCTGGGCTGAGAGAGGCTCTGTCCCCATCCCCGTCCCCAGCTTCCCTAGAGGAAGGGCTCTGATCATAACTCTGAACCACAGAAGGACCTCTGGCATCTCCCCACATGGCTCCTGAAGAGCCTTCCTGTGGCACTGCTAACAGCTGCTCCCCTTGAGGAAGCACTCCCAGGCCCCCTAACTGCTGTCCTGTCTGCAACCCCAGGACCTGCTTTTCTAACTCCTGTTCTTGCAGAGGAGCCAGCTCTGCAAGTCCAACATCCAAACTGGGAACCATCTCAAGCTGGGGGCCTTCCTGCCAACAAAGGGGTGGAGTGTCAGAAGTGCTGTCTGCTACCAGGGAGTGTCCGGGAGACCTGGCATCTCCTAGGTGGTCATCCTGATGTGGGCATATTTGATCTGTCACCTTCCCAGGCCCTCTTCTCTCCACATTGAAGGACCCTCGAGTTCCCTGTGCAGCTGGAAGTTCTAGCTGCAGGGCCCAGCTACTGGGAGGTGGCATAGCACTCCCGTTTCTGTGCATCGCCCTCAGGCCATCTAGGGTCCGCTCCTGCCCACCACGCACTTCCCGGGCCCTCCTGGCTGGGAAAGCAGCCTTTCCAACGCGAACCATGCTCCTCCCGGCCACCCGAGGCCCAGGTGAGGGCCGAAGCCGCCCACCTCCATCTTCATCCTCATCAGAAATGGAAGGACTGGAGTCTGATTGAGCTCCACTACAAGTAGGAGATGCCTCTGCATCCTCCTCTTCCAAGGCCAGGAGTCTCTTCTGGACCAGCTGCAAGGAGAATGGACAAACATTGTTCTGTACGTGCTTGTGAGAAGGAGTAGCTGAGGGGGTGGTGAAGACATGGTACTTAGACAGGGCAGGGAATGGAAACAGGCAGCAGAAGTCATGGTAGCAGAAACAACCATGGCTCTTTTCTGCCTTACTCCCATGCTTTGACCCCTTAGGCTCACTTGCCTTTTCCTGTGTTTCCCACAATCCCTTGCCTACTTGATCTGCACCTAAACCTCAATTCTGAAGCTCTCTCCAGAAGCCATACCATCCAAGAGCATGTAGAGTTGGATAAAATCATACAAGCTTTTTATTCTGTTGTTTCCTACCTCCCAGGCTTACCTGGGCAAGACTCAGTCCCTCTTCTTGTTCCAGCTCGTCAATTAAGGCCAACGGATCCCTCTGCTGTTCTGGGGACAGCAGATCTGCCAGAAATCGTGGATGAATGACAGCCTCCACCTGGAGAACAGAAGGAAAAGTGATCTGAGCACTTGACAGGAGGTAACCTGTGGGCCAAGAAGCTCTAGAGAAGAAGCCGCATCTCCCCAACTCCTCCCCTGGGGTTGTCATGAACCATGACCACTGCCAGCTATGCACATTCACAGCCTCGGAAGACAGCAGGAAGACAGCCTCATTCCTAACTGCCTCCGGCAAAACCCTAAGTCTTTGGTTCCCTGGCGTTTCCACCCCAGGATCTATTAGAAACTAGACACCCAGGTCCAGCCCACCTTGGAGACAAAGACCTCCTGAGAACAAAGCTCATCCATGTAGCTCAGGAGGCCTGGATCTGGATACATCCCTTCCTCCTCCTGCTGCTGCTCTTCCTCTTCCTGTTTTCCATCTGACTCCCCGGTGGCCAAGTGACTCCCCACGAGCCCTTCCATGATGTCTGCATACTCCTTCACGGCTTCTGGTGGAATCTCCTTGGGTGCCTCAGGAATCGGAGGCCTCTGGGTTTTGCGCTGCCGCCGGCGGGGGGCCCGGGCCTTGGAAGGCACCTTTTTGGGCATGTACACTGAGGGAAGAGTTGGAAAGGAGGAATGTGGGGGTGGCACAGAGACTGTGACTTCTGCCCCCCAACCTTGTGTTTGTAAAGGGTAGCAACCTGGGTGCACCGAAATGGTTACAGGCTGCATCAGCCCTGAAACAGCACCAGCTGTGGGAGATTTTGGAGCTAGAAGGTCTAAGAGGATCACTGTATGAGGCATCTGGGAAACTCTGAAATTCCAAGAAGTCCTCTGATCCAGTCCCCATTTCTTAGGCAGATGAGGTATTATGTGCCTCATCTATTTATAGTCTCAATTAGAGACTCGTTGGTTTCCTTGGTCAAGATCAAAGTTTAGGACAAAGGGAAACGGAGAACCCAGACTCCTATGTGTGGATGTCCTGTTCAGAACATCAGTGGCACTCTCTGGAGGGAAAGTGACAGAAGCAAGGACAATGCCCTCCCTAATCCATGACTTGTCTGTGCACTATGCACACCTCCCTTTGAACCTTGGGCCCAAGGCTCCTATTTGGAACTGGATAGCCTTACCTGGCTGCTGGCCAACCTCAGGGGCCAGGAGCCCTGGAGGATCAAGTTTCAGAGGGGCAGCCGGAGGCAGGCCTGAGGACCCATTCATCAGCTTTGTGTTCTGAATCTGCATCTCCTCCTCAGCCTCAAACTCCATGAACCTGCAGAGGGTGAGGAAGTCCTGGACAATTCTGAGGAGGTCAGACAATGGGAGGGGGCTGCTCACAGATGGCCAAATAACAGTTCTGGAGAAACCTCACAAGGTCTCCACAAAGTCCCTTATGTGCAGTCATCATTTAGGATCATTTTCATGTTAAGGAAATGAATGATCTAGAACTTGTTAAGCTTCTCCAGGACAGAACCATGGCTTTCACTTCTATTTCATACCCTATCTCGCCCAGCATCATGGAGGGTACACAGCAGTAATTAATTCAGCCTTGTTGAAGCCAGTCAGGTCTCTGCCAAAGCCTAGCAGGATCCCCCCAGCCAGCCTGCCAGGCCTGGGGTTGCAATTCAAGGCAGTTCCCACCAGGAGGCAGTACTGAGATCTGAGTCTGGAGGCTGGGCTGGGACCCTGCAAGAATAATTCTAGGATATATGGGTCCAGAAAATTGGGGGGTCGGAAATGGAAGCTAAGCTTTGGAGGAAAGGGTTCATTGTCCTTAAGAGTTATTTTAACTAAGGAGATTATAATGGAGAAATGAGGAATATGAGCCAGGAAACCACTCTGGGCACCCAGGACCTTCTCTTGACCAACCTATTCAAGCACCAGGCCCTCCCTGGGATAACATGGTCGATGATTTCTGTGCTAAGTACTTCACAGGTATATACTCTTTCCAGAGAAGACATGGTCTCAAAGTCCACATCAGTAGCCACTTGCTGCTACCTGGTCAGTGGGATAGGAAAGAACCCCCCCCCTAGTAGGGCGTACCACCCATTGCTAGGTCCCTTTAGCAAAGAAGTTTTATACCCATTGGGCTCCAACCCCATTCTAAGAACTTCAATAGAAGGACCTATGTAATTCAGGATCTGGGGGAAGGAGAGCTTCCAAGGGACAGGAAAACCCAAGAGTCAAGGTGGTGGAAGCAGCGAGAATCCAGAGACCCCATTCTAGTCCACACCCCTCCTCCTAGCATCCTTTTGAATAATTCTCCCCGCACCAGACTCAAGCTTCTCTTACCTGCCCCCATCCCTCAGCTACACAGCGCCCCTCAGGAGAATGAGGGGTGGTCAGACTCACTTTTCTGCCATCTCATAGAAGATCATCCGGTCAAAGTTGCTGGTATGTTCCCACTCCTGCACAGCCCTTGGCAGTCCCTCCTCCAGGGTCATTGTGGGCTTCAGCCGAGCCAGAGAGCGAAGCACAGGGCTAAAACCCGCATTGGGTGAGTCATGGTCTACAATGCATGCCCCTCCATCCACCTGTCCTGACAGACACCTCAACGCATACCTTGTCCCCTCAGCAGATCCAACTTGCCCTCCAATCCTTGTCACATTCCACCTCCAGTTAGACTTCCAGACCCCCAACTTCCCATCCATCCTCTCCCACACTGGACTTCCCACTGAAGTGTTCAAATCTCATGCAAAATCATATTATTGGCTCTGCTCCCCACCTTTTGAAATCAACCACCTTTAATTATCACAGTGCTGTCCTCAACTAAACATGAGGAAGAAAGTGCACTCATGTTATTAAATTAATGGATTTGTTATAAAGTAGGCTTACCCCTGCCTGAAGGCTCTTGCTTTTCAGAAAAAGGCACTACCTAACCCAAATGAATCTCTAATTAAAGGTTGTGTGGTGCTTTTATTTGTTGGTTTTTAAGTGCTTTTAGCCTCCGGGACACCCTTCACAGACAGTCAGATATCAATACTCTTTAAGCTCTTTTATGATTCATTTTTGCCTTTCTGACTTGCCAGAGTGCTCAAGCACTGTGCCCACAATCACCTGGTGACGCTTGTTATTAACTATGGATTCCAGCGCCCCAGGACTGAGGATTTTACTAGCTTCCTGGGCGACTGTTGCAGAGGGTCTGAACTGCATTGTGCAGGAGACCCTGCCCAGAGCCCCTGAGCATGGGAAGCAGGAGGAGGCCACGCATTAGAAATCCAGTCTGCCAGGCTCCAAGAGAACTCAGAGCTGTCTGGAGAAATCAGGACGCTGGTAAGCTGATCTACACCAAGGACTTGGGGGCGGCTCTTGATTTATTCACTCCAGAGTCAGGGTGGAAAGGGAGGTTCCTTTAGGCGGTGAGTGATGGAGAGAACAATGTACCTGTATTTTAAGTCCAGTAAAGTGTGGTATGTGTTATATAGTGGTTTACACAAAATGTTGAGAGTGAAGTGCATTTAAGAGCAGCTGTGGGTCTGGGTGGGAAGAAGAGAAAATTCCTCAGATGGCTAGCTAATGACTCTGCTTTATAAACACAACAGACTGCCCATGGCACCCAGGGTCCTTGGCTAAGCATCCCCTCACATAGACATTATGGCCTTTTGTGAATTCTTTTCCTCTTCTAGATTGTCCTGTTTTAATAATGATAGTAATAATAATAGCAGCTACCACTTAATGAAGCATTCTCTGTGCCAGGCACTCTGCTAGGTACTTCACAGATACTAATTCATCTTCTCAGCAACCTCCTCGAGTAAGTATAATCGTCCCCTTTCTAGATGAGAAAACTGAGGGCAAAGATACTAAATGTCGGGCCCAGGATCACCAATCTAGCAAGCAGTGGAGCCTAGGCCATTGATCACTAGGCAAGCTCTACCACCTCCCTAGTTCAACTTGAACTGTGGCTAAAATAGGGGGTGGTAGGGGCGAGGGTGGCACACACAAGGTCCTTCGCCAGGCCCCACATCGTCCTCCACTCCTCCAGGAAGGGTCAGGGCCCAGCACTCATGCTGCTGGTTTGGATGGCTCAACTCGATGTTGGGCGGTAAAAAAACAGAATGGGAGGTCTCTGTACTTAATGTCGGAGACCTCAGCTCCACCCATGGCTCCTCGCTTTATGACAGGGAACCTCTGAGCTCCAGTCTTCTCATCTATAAATGAAGACCACATAAAAATGCCTGCCTCAACCCACAGGGTTGTGAGGATCACTTCAGAGAAGACACCTGAAAGCCTGTTCTCCCTGGAAAGTGCATAAAGAGGATCATCATCATCATCGTTATGCTTTTTCATTCTCACAGCATCTCTAGCACCTTCATGACTTGCCCTCCCATATTCCCAAATAGCCTCACCTCTTGTCCACCCCGAATCCCTCCTTGTTTAAAAGCACTAGGATAATCCATGTCTGGTCTCCCCACTTACATAAGAAAACAGGAAAGGGCTTCCACATCAGGACTTTGAGATAAGTGCTTCCGAGCCAAGGCTTTGTAGCGCTGCCAGCGTTGGAAGTTCTCATACACACCTTTGGAGGTATAGGAGAGGTCACCCAGTGAGGGCTTGGATTGGGTGGCCAAAGGACCTCCTTCTCTGGTTGCCCCATGTGGCTCTGGCCAAGCCTTCTCAGGGGACACAATGGGGGCGAGTTGGGCAGCTGGTGGTGGAGCCTGAGCAGGAAGGCCCAGGAAGCCTTCCTGGCTGACCCCAACAGCCTTAGTGGGCAGAAGGGCCTTCATGTTAGCAGCTGTCATGAATTGAGGGGGAGGACCCTCGGGGTCCCCGCAGGGATTGCTTGAGGCAATCCAGTTGAGGGCTGGCTGAGTAAGGATAAAGTTTTGAGTTTGAGAGGGCTCAGCGGGCCCCACTTCTGTCTTGACTTTGACAATGACTCCAGCCCCAGTGGGGCCAGGTTCCCCATCCCCTGTCACCAGCAATGGGCTGGGGAGAGCAGAGAGCACCAGAGGGTTGCCTGGAGAGAATGCCGAAGGAATGGGAGGCTGCTCCCAGAGTGGCTGGTCTGGTGGGTCAGAAGCAGGTTGGGGAAAGGGAAGTGCAGTCAAAGAAGACAGGGTGGCACCGGGTTTCAAGGTCATATCCGGTCCTGGCAATGGAGATGCTGTTGAGACAAAGAAAAAGAGGGAATGGAGTAGGAAAAAAGGAGGTCAGAAGTAGGTCACCAGAGCTCCATTTAATCCCTGCACAATCAAAGCACTGATTCTCAACAGGTGAGAGAGGGGCTATGGCGGGGAACTCGCATAGTCTGCAAATGTCCCGCAAGTGATTTTGCTGTCCCTTGCTCCCATTTGAGAATTCTCTTACTAGAGAAGGTGCAGTGACCCTTGGGCCCATAACACGTGCCACCCAGCATACAAGTACATCTCTTATTCTCACCCACTCCAAACACACTTAAACCACCCGCGCCCTGTTCCCAGCTACTCTGTGGTCCCTGCCACCACTCACAGAAGCACTGTTCCCTGGAGAAGGTGTGTGGATTAGATGTCTGGTTTCCAGAAATTTTGTTATGTAACAGCTAGGAATGACTAGAGATAAGGACCGGGACATGGGTGAGGGGAGGGCTGTGCAAGAAGGGAGGTTCCCAGAGGAACTGCTGCACATGCTAAAATTTGGTGATGTAGACTCTCCATGGTCCTGCCTGGAACTCCTAATAGCAGACATTTAGAGTCCACTAGGAACAAGGCACAGACCGTGAAGTGTGAAACACAGTACCTGCGGATGAAGAGCTCTGTGGACTCTAGTCAAAGGGACCAAGGAAAATACATAAAATGTGTACTTAATTAATCTTAGGATTTTTCATTATAATGATAGAAGACCATTTGCCTAATTTCCTACAACTCTCCTCCCCCTCTAATAAATAGATCCCAGTGGCAAATCAACAACACTCCACTTCCGCTTCCTGACCACGAAGGAGACATGGAATATGAAACTCATCATCTAGACCACACAGCAGAGGGCCAGGAGTCTTTCACCACATGTGGACGGTGAGTTATGTCTGAGGCCTGGGTTCCACAAAAGGTAGAAAAACAGAGCATCTCAGGGAAGCCCCAGCTTTCATTCTGGTTGGAGTTACCCAACTCCAGAGGGAAATCAAGGAAAACTGCTTCCTTGAACTGGAAGAGAAGCCACCTCTAGGGCAAGGAGGAGTCATAAGGCTCTGAGCAGAGGCACTTATATAGTACCTTCCAGTCTAGCTTTGGGGAGGACATTTCTCTACAGACAAGGCAACAGATAACCCAGCGGAATAGTTTTCCAGCTAAGGTCTCCCTCCATCCACCTCACTCAATAAGATGGAGAGTGGCTCCAGCCCAGTACTCTCAGGACAAAATTCTAAAGCAGACTCCAATCGCCTAAAGAAGACACAGGAACCTGGACCTTCCCCTTGAGCCCTCTCTGCTATCTGCACCACACATAACCCAACTACACAAACACATGTTGAAGGGGGTTCCTCTTCCAGGGAAATGAGTTGCTAACTTTCCTCTGAGGGGCTTTGATTTACCTCCCGGGAGGCTCTCTTCATCCCTAAGCTTGGAGATAATAGCATAATCTCCTTCCCCAGGCTCCCCAAGATGGATGACTTTGCTGGGGCCTAGTGCTCTCACATCCCCCTAGGACAGCCCCAAAAGCTGGTCCCCAGGTAAAACGTCAAATATGAACCCCCAAGGATATGGGCAGGTAGCCAGGACATGCCCCATCACTTGCAGACTTACCTCCATCTGAAGCCATCCTCTCAGGTTTGGGGTCCAACTGTGGCTGTGTGGAAGCTTCCAGAATGAGCCAGTCAGATTCAGGACCCAGAGAGCAACCTGGCCCCAGGAGATACACAAGGATCCAAGGGAGGGAAGATAAAGATCAGATCAAAACAGAACTAGAATCTAGAACTCAAGGCATTCTGCAGTGGGGGAGGGGAGAGGAGCTGGGGCAGAGGGACAGATTCCAAAGGGCTCTAGTAAGTAGGTGGGAACCAGGAATTCCCTCCAAACCAGAGTATGGCAACACAATTTTTGTGCATCTCTTTAGGGCAATTTGTAAATTCTTTCTGATTCCCATTATTACAAGTTTTACATCTTGGTTACCTGTATATTTCTTCGCCAATCTATACAGTTTTGTGCCCTTCATTCCCACCGAGTTCTGTAACTGACTTCCTATTAATAGCAGGCTGTGGCAGAGACTTGACTTAATTCAATGTTGGCTATATTTTTTAAACCAAACTCAGAGCATAGAGTCTGTGTACTTAAGGAGAAAAGAAACAATGTTTGAAATGAGGATTGTCTCAGAAAATCAGGGTGTTTGATTGGCTATATGCATATCATTTCCTTAAAAAGCTGTCCCGGCATTCCCAAACAGTCCACTACCATCAGGTCTGCAATCTGCAGAAGGTTCAGCCTTACCCCTTGGCTGAAAAGCACCACTCTATCAAAAACTGCCATTGAGCCTAAAATTCCAAAACCAAAAAGTCCTTCTTTTTGTTAAATTACTTTGTTGTTTAAAATTTTTGTTAAATTTTTATTTTTTGAAATGGGTAATACATCAGTGTGGTTCAAATTCAAACTATGCAAAATGGAATATATAGCAAGTCTCCCTCCCATCCCTATTCTCTGGAGCTGAGCTCTTTCTTTCTCTGTTTCTTTCTTTCTCTGTTTCTGTCTCCCTCTCTTCTCTTTATTTTGTTTTTGGAACCAAGTTCTTTATCTCAGAGGAAACCAATAGTATGTTTCCTATGAAATTTTGCAGAGATATTTGATGCAACTACAAGTAAATAAAAGATATATTCTTTAAAAAAAAGAGGAAAGCTTTCAGGTTTTTCTCCATTATAAAATTCACCTATGTGCCAATGTCTTTGCCATTATAAATAATACTGCAATGATCATCTCTGTAATGATATCTGGGTTCCAACTCTCACTCTTCTAAAACCAGAGTCCTATAAAGAGAATTTCTACGTTCGAAATAAAAATTCTAAGTAACTCTAGGAGGTGCATCTTATTATTCTATTATTAGCTACTCACCACTATTAGAGCGCTGAATTTGTGTTAGAAACCTGAGTTTAAATCTTGGTTCGACCACTAAAATCTACTTCACCAGTTTCATAAAATAACTTCACGCTCTCTTCGCTGTACATAATATCGGATACCCATCATGCACTCTTTACCGCCAATACTTTGAAACAGGGCGGGTGAACCGGACGTAAAAGAGGGGAGGGAAGAAAACTTTCTTCTTCTACCCTAAGGTAAAGGGGCTCTGAATCCTCGAGCCTTTGTTTCTCCAGGCACTAGAAACCCACGGCCTGTGAAATGGGTGTGCGTCTCGATATAAAGACAGGATTCTATTAATCAGTGTTCAAGCCATATCCATTTCTACCCCCCCTCTAATTCCTAGCACTGTCTTGCACACAGTGGGCACACTCCACGCATCTCAGAACTCCTGCAAAGTTGCAACTAGAAGACAACGCCTGCAAGGTTGCAACTGGGTTGCAACTGGGCCTAATCCTGCACTAGTTCTCCCCCTTCTGGCCGGCTGGAGAAAGGCCTGCGTGGACTACATTTCCCGTCATGCCTTGAGGGAGAAACAGAAAGAAGAGAGAGAGACTTCTTCCGGCTCCGCGGGAGGGAAATTGACAAACACGTGAGACTGGTGGCGGCGGTTAGGAAGAGCTGCAGACGGAATTGGGGCTTCTGGCTTCGGTGTGGTCATGTTTCTTCAGTATTACCTCAACGAGCAGGGAGACCGGGTCTATACGCTGAAGGTGAGAAAAGAAGACAGGTTGGAAGTGGTTATGGCGAGAAACATAGGTGGGAGGAGCTATTGAGACCAGCCACCGAATTGCCTCGGTGGTTGAGGGGAATTAGAAAGCCCAGAAACCAGGCGTGATGGAGGCAGGAATGTATGACTTGCTGATCTAACCGTCGCGTCTCCTGTCTTCCTATTTACCTTTTTTTCGCGCAGCCTCCTCCCCATCCCAGCCTCTTGTCTCCCTTACGACTCCAGCGATTGAGTTTTCCCACCACCCGTACTGAGCTCATGTTCTCTTTCTTACTCGAGCAGAAGCTTGACCCTATGGGACAGCAGACGTGCTCGGCTCATCCTGCTCGGTTCTCCCCCGATGACAAATACTCTCGACACCGAATCACCATCAAGAAACGCTTCAAGGTGCTCATGACCCAGCAACCGCGCCCTGTCCTCTGAGGGCCCCTTAAATTTCGTGTCTCTGTTCCACCTCGAGAGACCTTCCAAAACCAAGCCCTTCAGTCTGTGAGCCTTGAAGCCTTCTTACCATCCTTGCTGTTTGGAATCCGGTTTCATCGTTGCTTCTGATGATGCTTATGTGAAACAGTCATGGTAGCATGCCCCTTAAGGGAATAATTTCGAATCTTTCTATGTTGTGAATCACTGCCAGGTTATTAAATTGATTTGAAAGAGCCCTTGTTTTGTATGTTGTGGGAAGAAAGGAGGGCAAAGAGAGGGAAGAGCACCTGAGGGGTACACCAAGACCACTTGAAAGAAAACCTTCAGTCACTGCGGGAGCAGTGGTGCTGTGCGATGGGGTGTCAGGGAACTCTTCACCACCGTCAGCATTCACTGAAAAATACCCCTCTTGTCACTGAAGTAATTTCTTGCTCCTTGAAATGACGTTTTGACTCTCAGGAGTTACTTGAAAACTAACAGCTTCTATATTGTAGAGGGGATGCAGTGAATTGGAAGTCAGGTGACCAGGATTTTCCCGTCTGCGTGCCTTTGAGAAAGTAACTTGACTTGTTTCGTCTCATTTTTCTCATCATTTCTAAATTCTCTTCCAACTCTAAATTTGCTAAGGTTCAGCGATGGTTCTTTATATATCTACAGTGTGTTGTAAATAGAACCATTGTGAATATGAATGCCTCTTAATGCATATTTACTGCCCCTCTGAAAATATTCCCAGGTTTTTAGCTTTCTCCATCAAGGAATTGTCTTCTCACATACACGTAACTATATTCTCCTTGGCAGCCAGCTACTTTTGGAATTCTATATGATCTTAATTTAGAAGATTGGGTATGAGAGATTCAAGCAGGGGTTTTGCTGGTGTTTTAAGCTACTTTTGGGGTTAATTGAAAAAAAAACCTGCGAGATTTCTTAGGACTTAAACTGCTCTTAAGGGGCAACCTAAATTTTTAATCCTATTCATAGTAGAGGGATGATTAAGTTTTCAAGAAATGCTAGCTTGCTTCTTCCTGTATTTGTCAAGTTAATGACCTCATTATTTTCCAGTTTTCTATTTGTGGCTTTTGACATTGGGTTTGAATACTTAGTGCCACTGATTTTAAAACTGCTTTATGGAGATTGTGTTCTAATTATACAATCTTCTTTTCCTACTACATCAAGATTCTAGACTCTAAAAGCAGATGCAACTTAAATCAGCATGGAGTTGATTTATCAACACTGGTCCTGGAAAGGGATAATTCTGTTTCTCTTGGACTCTGATGTCTGATGATCTCAGTAGAAAAGTTAAGGATAGTTGTTGACTGCTGAGAAAAAGAAAATCTCTCTACTTGGGTCATAGTTAATAGAAGACAGATGATTTTTTTTAAATTTTTTTAAATGTTTTATTTATTTCTAGGAGAGAGAGAGACAGTGTGAGCAGGGGAGGGTCAGAGAGAGAGGGAGTCACAGACTGAAACAGGCTCCAGGCTCTGAGCTGGCAGTCAGCACAGAGCCCGACGCAGGGCTCGAACCCACGAACCGCGAGATCATGACCTAAGCGAAAGTCGGACGCTTAACCAACTAAGCCACCCAGGTGCCCCGAAGACACATGGTTTTTGGATCACCTACTTACGGGAATGGTAAAATGAAATAACTTACTTCCTGTCAAGCTATTTTTAATTTCTTAACCTGTTCACTTATAGGGTTCTTAGCATTATATCTGAGGGCTTTTAAACTGTAACCCTATCCTGGGGTGCCTGGGTGGCTCAGGTCATGATCTCACAGTTCCTGGAGCCCCTCATGGGACTCTGCGCTGATAGCTTGGAGCCTGCTTGGGATTTTCTCTCTCCCTCTCTCTGCCCTTCCACCGATCATGTGTGCTCTCTCTCTCTCTGAAAATAAAAACATTTATTTATTTTTAAATCTTTAATTTTGAAAGAGAGATGGGGAGGCGCGGGGGGTGGGGGTGGGGCGGGCAGAGAGCTAGGGAGAGACATAATCCAGAGCAGGCTCCAGGCTCTGAGCTGTCAGCACAGAGCCCCACTCAGGATGTGGGGCTGGAACTCACGAACCTGGAGATCATGACCCGAGCTGAAGTCGGACAGTTAACTGACAGCCACCCAGGCGCCCCAATAAATAAAAACAAAGTGTTACCCTATTAAGAGGATAAACGATGGAAGAAATGTTAATTCTGCAAATAACTAGAAAAAGGATCTGATATGGAAGCTTCTTAAGCACCAAAGTCAGTAAAAGAACTCTGCTACCAATGTTTTATAATATTGACCGTAATTTTGTTTTCATATGTAACCCACTACCCACCCACACCCACACCCCACATTCCCAAAGAATTACCATTGTTCCATGCTACCTGCTCTGTAAACTGAAAAAATTTGACCTGGAAATATTCCTAATTCAAGTAGAGGGGAAAAGGCAGACTGGTTTGAATATACTCAGGGCTTTTTGCCTTATGAGATTCTCTAGATATTAACATCTCCTGAGATGAGCTCAAAAACTGGAGAAGAACTTTAAAAGTTATAGTATATTGGTATTAGGTAGTATTGTTGCAGAAATCCACCATTTCTTTATAAGGGGAAAGTCTGTGAGATTTGAATGATCAGCAGGCCTGCCTGAGGAAGACACTAATCCTTCCAGGAAGTGAATTTCTCCCTCAGGAAAGTTGTGAGCCTGAGTTAATAATCACAGCCTTTGAAGAGCAAGAATCAAGCTTCAAGGAAGTTTACATTTTAAATGGGAATTTACTTCTCATTTTGTTACCTGGATGTTTTTTATTTTGTGGTTTTGTTTTGTTTTACTTTTTTATAACCTGGATCATTTTAAACAGACTTTGGACTTTGTGCATCATTTGCTAAAAAGGGATTTCTTGGCTCAGGTTTTCAGTTCACCTCTGATCTATTGGTAAGAATGATGCTTAAACATTTACAGTTGGGAGGTGTAAGGACCCAGGCAAAGCCAGGGTCAGATTGTTAAATTTATGTCTTGTTAAAGCTACAGGAAATAACTTCAAATAAAACATTGATGAGTCAATTTATTGAACACTATTCAAGTATTAAATAAACATGCTAAGAAAAATATTCTGGTGGCAGTAGGGAAGACGCTGGGAATGGAGCAAAAAAAATCTCATTGTTTTCCCCAGGTCTAAAATTAAAGACATTTTACTTAGGGTGCCTGGGTAGCTTAGTTGGGTGAGCATCTGACTCACTTTCAGCTCAGGAAATGATACCAGGTCTGTGGGATGGAGACCCGTGTGGGGCCCCCGCATTGAGTATAGAGCCTGCTTGTGATTCTTCCCCCCCCCGTCAAATTAATTTTAAATATGAAAAAAGAATTATGAAGATATATTTAATGGAACTTTCCGTCTAACTCGAAAGATAGTATTTCCCCCCATCTTTACTGATGTATAATTGACCAAATTGTGTATATTTAAGGTGTACATGATGGGATGAAGTATGCATTTTAAGGACAGGAAAAAGAAAAAAATGTAGCACAAAATGTATATAGATGTGAGGATACAGTGCTTTAAAAAACAAATCTGCTTAAAATTTTGAGTAAGGGCCATGCATAGGTATATGGTATGGGAGGTTTGCAATTTTTTTTAAAGAAATTATGAACGGTATTTTCAGTGACGCTTTTATTAAAAAGAGATGGGTTTTGAGGGTCTGAGGGCAAAGGGCATCGTCTGCTCCCAGACGTTCCCTAAATGCCTCCAGACCTGAGTTTGTGTAACAGCAGGACGGAGAAGGGAAAGGATTTGTTTTCTCCGGACCACGCAACTCAGGCCCCAATACGCAACTACAATTCCCATCGTCCTCCGGACTTTCCACGTGTGGCCCCTCAGGCCCGCTGCGATCCCGGCAGCGCATGCGCGCAGCCTTGGTTGTCGCCTCGCAGACTGCAGAGGCTGGGCGGGGCTCCTCGGCACTCCCGGGACGGTACCGCCCTCCGACCGCTCCCCCAGGCTTCTCTTCGGACCGTTAACCTCGAATGAGGAACGAGCGGAGAGGGAAGGGAGGGGCTGCGGCGGCGCTGGCACAGCCCGCCGGGCCCGGGGCCGGGGGCGGCGAGGTCACGTAACGGCTGCTCTGGCGTCTGCCCGGGGAGGGGGCGCCCTCCTCGGCAGCCGGAGCCCTCCTGCGCGCGCCGCGGCTCCGAAACAGTTACCCGCTCGTAAACAACAGCTGCGCGCGCACCCGCATCAGCTGGCGCCGGGATCCCGCACCTGCGACCTCCTCTTCCTCTCATCCCCGCCGCCCCCTCCTGCTCAGCCCCGGCCGGCCTACGGGGCCGTCTCCTCTCTTGCGAGGACCCGAAGGAAGAACGGCGAGGGCCTGACCTGCGCCGCGGCCCTGTCGGGGAGAAAGCGTCCTCCGGCAAAGGGGTGGCCCGTCCTGTCACACGCAGGAGAAACCCAGAGAGCTGGCCGTGGGCTCGATGGACTAGACGACCTGCCACGACCCTGAGCTGCAGTCCGAGGGGTGTCGATCGGCTCGCTAGCCGCCTCCTCCCACATCCTAGGGACCGTTCTGCCCGAAGAGCGGGCGGGCCACCCCCGCAGACCTCTTGGAGACGAGAATCCGCTCTGCCCCTGCATCCTCTGCTCACCCTTTTCTCCTCATTCTCCTGTATCGAGTGGTGTGGGCTATTTTTCCCGTTATGCATGCGCATCTCTCCCACCAGACCCAAGTGGATTACTGGCCTCAAAAACATCGGGTGACTCCACACACACCTCCCAGCCAAACCTGTGGGGTATTCACCTGATACACAACAGGTGGCCGGGTGTACACCGTTTTCGCAATCTGATCTGTGCTGTATTCGCCTGGTAAGGGTGGGCCTGCTTGCACTTTGCTCAACTAGAACCGTGGGACATTGACCACATAAAAAAGACTTAACTACCTCGGCGGAAACCTGGGGGTCGAAGGGAGAAAGGTTTCACCTGCTTCTCTGAGACCATGGCACTGAGCCCGCGGCCCCGGACCAGGGGAGATAGCTAGATAACTTTTTTCCTCCCTGAAGAAAGGAAGTTACACGAGATTGGCATCGTTTTGTCTTTTTCGCCCCTTAAATATTTAATGGTAGTGCACTTTCTGGGATAGTCTGTTTGGATTCTGAATAGGATTCTTATTTGGAACTTTTTATGGTATAAATCAAGGTTATTGAAGGTTTTTTTTGTTATCTTTTCTATTTTGCAATCAAAAGTAGCTAGCGTAGGAGGAAGGATTTTTGCG